AGCTGCATGACATGTTCCCCAGCTGCATGACATGTTCCCCAGCTGCATGACATGCTCCCCAGCTGCATGACATGCTCCCTTTGGTCAGTCCAGTTAGTACAGAGCTGGTGGAGTTATGCTGAGTCGATTCAAACAATTGAATATCTGAATATTCAACCTGCTATTCAATCAGCTATTTGAATCTTTTGTTTTACCAAATTCCCCCCAAATCAGAACCAAATACAGATAGAAGGACAAAAGGTTACAAGGGAAAAACTGGAAGGAAAAGTGATATTTGGACTTATCTTGGGCATATGCATTCTGCTGCCAACACCTTGAAACATGTCTCTAGAAGGCAATTTTGTAACTTAAGACCTGAAAGTCTCTGTTTGTCTTTTCATTGATAGTCGCTGCGAATATTCAGTGTCCAAACTACATAATCAAATATTCCAGAACCTGGCACTGCCTTATGGTCAAATTGTAAAACAGTTGCTTCTTCCACCAAATAATGATTTTTTTTGGGGGGGACGATAAGGCAAAATGTGGGTAGTACCTCCCTGGAGCCGTCCTGTTCTAGTTTCATTCCGGCCAAAGCGATTGTGATTTGGCTGGCGGGACCTGTCTTGACGTCAATATCCCGTAGCTCCTGCCGGAAGTGATGCGGGGAGCCGCAGGATTTGTATAGATCGATCAGTGCTGACCAGCTGTAGCCGTGCTTGAGGAGTTGCTTGACGGTCAGCTTTCGCTGCAGGCCCACCACTCTGCTGGGAAGATTTTCTGGGGGAGGGCAGAAAAAGTCAAGCACTGTTTAAACAGATTTGTGGTGTTTTCCGGAAAACCTAACCAACACCGACAAACTCAGTGCGCTGCTGATGCCTTTTCAATAAGGGCCAGACTAGCGTGCAGCGGTATACATGTAGTACTGCTCATCACAGGAGCACTGGAGCACTTTTGTCCCCGGTGGTAATCTGCTCGTGCTGTATGCCACAACCAGTGGTATAATCTTTCAAAACACTGACGGATTTCCTCCGCTATTGACAACTGAAAAAATGTTGGAAATTCTCAGCAGCTCGGTCTTTTGTTCCAAGTACAGTCTTCTGTTACAAGGCCCAGTTCCCTTTGTCTGATTTCGGGCACCCTGTCAATACATATAAAGCCAACGTCTCCAAAACCGGGCTTCCCAGCAGCATTTGGTTAATCAGTGGATGTGCTACCTTGCAATTCCCATTTGTCTTCTTGGTAAAGTTTTTCTCCTTTGTAGAAGTCAACCCTGGAGCAGGGAAGAAAAATGGAAGAAAATTACTCTCCAGAATATTGAAGCCATACATGCACGTGAGGTGGAGCGCTACTGTGTGGACAAGCCTAAAGCACAACTTGTTGGCGGCTGACATCCTGGGGAAAGCCTGGTTAACCCAAATGGACTGGCCTCCATCCAAAGAGTGAGGTGGTCTTACAAGCAGAAACAATCCAGATGAGAAAACCAAAGGCTCATGTTCTTGAGCCATGGGGTCAAATGGATGTTGTCTTTGTTTTACAGGTGGGGATGGGAGGGGTACGCAGCACTAATCAGTAGTTAATGACAAATTATCAATGCTGGAAGGGCGTCTATAAGCTGTTTGCGAGTCAAATTTGAATAAAATCTGATAACACTGAGTTATCTGACTGCACATTTAAATGAAACAAGTTGAATTCTCCATACCAAAGACACTCTTGTTTAACCTTATGATTCGAGGCAAACTTTTGCTTAGTTACGTAAGAGAAGCCTAGCACCAGTACACCGTTCTCAGTGGATAAGAATGGCACAAAGAAGCCAGTCCATTCCAGAGATGGTGGTGGCTTCGCAAACGCTTGCCCCGAATCAAAAGGCTTATTCTGAGGTATTTTTTGTGTAAATTGATGGCTTCCCTTTCTCCCTTTTGGCTTTTTTGCTCTTCCCTCACTTTTTATTTCTCATTATTTTGGGAGGGGGAGGGGGAGAAAAAGGTAAGGGCCTCCCTCATAAAATTTCATCTTCTGTACATAAATCAATGAAAGAGTGAGGCTTTCTCCCTGAAATGACATCACCGTGTTGCTGATGAGTATGGACATTTGCATTAGCATTAAGAACAAAAGGGCACCAAAATATCTTTCAAAATAGAAAAACAGTCAGTGAAAATCAGGCTAACTGAAGCACAAAGGTATACTTTCGATGATCATGGCAGAAAAAAATTGCATTGCACAGACCCTTTAAGCCATTCACGACGGATGACGGTAAGGGCCACCATAAAAATTGAGATCCTCAACCCGCTTTTCAGCTATTATTCTCGGTCCACGCTCGAGCTAACACTGTGAAAGAAGGCAGACCCTGGCTCTTGTATATATGGTGATTGGCCTTTCCTTTTCACTGTGTAAATCAAAGCGTGCAGAGCACGCATGGCCACAAACCGAGAATTTGCGGTTTGGCAGGTGGCCTTCGTGGCCGAGCGAGGCTGGAATTTTTGGAGTCGGCTTTCAGAAAAAAGTTCCCGTCGTCAAGGGGTTAAGCTCACCACTCCTGGGTGTTGAATATTGGCACTCGGTACAGAAGCCAATACAGAGGACTCTGTGTGTAGAGCTTCAGTACCAGGGCTCCACAGCTTCTGGAGAAATACAAATCTGAAACAAGACATGTAATGACATCACTGGCACAGAATCAGAGTTGGCAACACGGAGAGTGGTGACAACTGTGGTGATGCGGTGAATTAAACTGATTTGTAATCAGTGGAATCAGTGACACAGAATCGGAGGCAGCAACAGTGGCGTCGGCCACGATTGTGGTAGTGATGGTGACAATGGTGAAAATAATAGGGGTGTTGACGATGGCAAGTTGGCGGTGATGGTGACGGCAGGGGCAGGTGACACTGATGGTGAAAGTGGCATGGATGATGACAATGGTGCTGATGGTGGTAATAACGATGATCAATTGCATATTCAGAGGAGGATGGGGGCAGCAAGTTGTGCCCCTGGGACATACTGTCAATTTTGATTTTCATGGGGATCGACCACACAAACAGTTTCCATGTGGCAATATGCCACCTTTCCGGGGGGGGGTCAAACAAGGATTCTTTCAGGTATTAAAAAATTGGACAATCTGTTTTAAAACTACTGATTTTGTGCCTCCCACTGGTTCAAAATTTGGGCATTCTGCCACCGATGCTGGTGGTGATGAAAGAGATGATAATGGTGGTGACAGTGATTGAATTATCACGGTGATCATGATTAGAATGGTGGTGATACCAAAAATTAGAATAAAGATAAAATGATTTCAGTTTTAAAAAACACACTTCAAAGGGAAATAAAAAATTCACCCAAAGGTAACAGATCTAGATGTACCAGCTTGGAACACACACCTCTCTCATGGAACTGTGCAGGAAACCAGTCATTCAACAGTGAACCCAGGCCAAGAGAGCGGGAATCAATGAGCCACGGGTGCCTTGCGTCTTTGTACTGGGGAGAGTTGGAGGAAGAGGGCATGTGCTGACAAAATACTGGCATTACTGGCCAAAATTTCAACAGAATTATCTCAAGCAAAAACAATGATTTGTGTGGGGGGGCAGCATAAAACTTTATCCAGCACTGGCTGGTATTTCTTGTGAAGATTAAAAAAAAGAGTGGAAAGAACTGTCACTTAATTTGCTCCGTTTTCTTTTTATCTTTTTTTTTATACCCCACGCAGACCATTTAATTTTTCCTGAATATTTCAACATTCAAAAACTGCAAGATACAGCAGTCAACTTTTCTGATATTCAGCAAAACACCATAAAATACTGGACTGAAAGAGTCTGTGTATATTTCTCTTACCACAACCTCCTATTTTCAACACCCACGGGTACGCCCACAGAGTGACATGTAGGCCACGCTTGGTGGCCAAGTTTACATTCAACACACTGACTGCCTCCACAGACTTCTGGGATTTATGTGTGTGTACAAAATAAATGGGGGATTACAGCACGTTGGACGTAGCAAGAGACAAGTTGAGATGCACTTGATGATGAACCTGTCTACCCTGCCATTACAGATAGTCAGATTGTGTTTTCACGTCCTTTGGTGGCAAGCGGTTAATTCACATCTGCTCTATACAAGGGTAATTCCAGAAATTAGGGGTCCATTTTTTTCGTGTCTTTGTCACATCTGACATACACGTATGATTTTGTAAGTTCGGAACACATTTTCTAATTTCCAAGAGTGATGAATTAATGCAAATTACCTGCCGAACAAACAGTAATACATGTAGCTTGAAATCAATTCCAGTGATATTTCCATGTCAAATAACAAAGGTCAGATATAACAAGGACACAAAAATGTCACACTTTTGGACCCCTAATTTCTGGAATTACCTACAACAGCAAGCAGTTTCCACAAATATTCAACGCATGACCCCAGGGACATGTGGCCAAATGGTTATGGTTTGCTGCTTCCAATCATAGGGTCAGAGGGTCGAATCCTAGCAAGAAGTCTTGTGTGTTATGACCCTGGGCAAGTCACTAAATCCCTATGTGCCTCTCGTCAATAAGGAGTAAACAGGTACCTGTGAGGTACATGTACCCGTGTTTAGCTGTGTGTTTTGCTGTTTGCTCTGATATGGCAGCCCTGGGCCAGAATACATACACTTTACTCCCCAGGAAGCTGAAATAGTTTTGGGAATGTTCAGATGTGAGCCCGATGAGCAGGGTAACAACAATATATTGGCAGCTTTGAATGACTGACACCGTTAGATACTGTTCCCCGTAACGCTGATACAATCATTATTGTTTCACCTGTTTGAGCGTTGGTACAGGGTCTGCAAAGTGCACGTTGTGCGCCCCAAGGGTTTCCAACGCATCAATGCCGTATTTTTCCAGCATCCGGAAAAGGAAGAGAAACTGGAACGTCTCCCCCCAGTGGGCGATCAAAACTGATGTATGGGAGAAATTGGCAGTGGGAAAAAACATTAGTTCAAACATGGACAATGGTTAGGTTCACGTTTCTTTAATTGCTTCTAGGTATTACTGAATCATCACTACGGTTAAATGGGACATCGTGATTCATGACAAGTACTCGTGCTCACCAAACCATGGGCTGTAGAGGCATTATTCCAAAACCGCAGGACCATCGTAAGTTGTCAAAAATAAATCAGGGGTGAAAACAGGGCTTCTGAGAACAAACGTTTTAAGATTGGTGATTTTACAAGGCAGTCAGGCAGGGCTGAAATGAGAGTTACTTTACTTGTGCCCTGGGGATGAGTGTGGCTCATTTAAAAGCTTTCTTAACCCTCCTATGCTGAGGTCACTCTTTGGGTCATTTAGTAAGCACCTCAAAGAAGCACAG